TTCCTCTATTCACAAAACAGGAATTTACGTGGGTAATAATTAGAACTTTTCCATTAAGCGCTGCTACTGTCATAAGAAAGTAAGTGGGAGATGGGGTGTTTGCTGTTTAGAACTCTGAAAGTATCAAACAACCAGGAGAATTATTAAATGAATGCTTTACCCATCTGCTGTACTTCAGTGGTCCTGTGAAACCCATTGCTTCTATGATCCTTGTGAAAGCACCCACTTTCTCTTCAGATGGCTGCAAGGAATCTTTCGCAGAAAGATGCTGTAAAATTGAAATATCACACATTTCAGTCTCAGCAATTCTATCCGACAAATCATTTCCATCAGAAAAGCTCCAAGTCAATAGAGAATTTCAGGAGTTTTGTTTACTTACTTTGTTCAACAAAGCAAACACGTATTTAGGTCTTCTCTGCAAAACATGACACTGTTTTTCCTACGTGACATCCTTCTATTTATGAATGCAAACACTGCATAACCATTTTGACAAAAGCACCCCCTTGGAATCTCAGACTCCAAAAGCTTGTACAGAAACCTGCTTTCCAAAACACAGCTCCCGTTCTAGATTCCCATATTCTTTCTAGATGTGTGTCTCTACTTGGGCTTAAACCTTTTGCAGATAAATGAGCAAACAAATCACAGAAACAGAGTAAGTAAAGCCAACCTTGCACACTCCCCCTCTCACAGGTATACCACAGAGTAATTAAACATTACATAAACCAATCGGTTCCATCTTAAAACTAACGAAGCTGCACGAAGCCACCTTTCTTGCTGAAAAGCTCCCTTAGATTGTTTCTCCCCTTGTTAACCTAAATGGCACTTGCAGAAAATCTAGATTTAGAAAATCTGAAGTATTTAGTCCTCAAACCTTTGCAGTGTCTGCAAACATGAAGATGAATGTTTTCTTCCAAATTAACTACACACCTTAACCACCACTTGAGAAATCTTCATGGCATTCTGCCCCTAAGTGTCCTGGCAGTAGCAATCAGCCATCAGTAATTACCACTTGTACTCCAGCAAATAATTTCTAATCAATTAAGTAGGCAGTATAAACACTTTGTAATCAACAGATTACTCTACTTTTTACCCATCTAACCAAAATCTAATGCACGTGAATCTCCTACACATACTTGAGGAATACAGCAGAGAGTCCTTACAATCTGAGAAAGTCCCCTGACCAAAGAAACGTTCAATTGCTTTAAGTTGCTGGAATTTTACCCTAAGACATGAACATACTAAGAAAAGAATATTCATAGGAAGGAAGCTAATTAGCAACATAAGGACTGCCACACACGGCCAGAACAAACACCCTGACCGGGACGCCATCTCCAGCAAGGACCAGCAGCAGATACTTGGATGAGACACGAAAGCAGAGAAATAAGGCACAGACCTCCTGGGGTGTACCTGCCCAGCTTTTGAGGGTCATTCCTGTGCTAGAAAATGCATCCACACGTTCATTTCTGGCAGCTGCAGTTGGATACACCTTCAGACCCCAGTGTTTGAAACTATTTAACCTCCTGTGTCACAACTCTGCGTGTTACGGAGTTTCACAGTCCAGTTATGTAAAAAAAACATTCCCCTGTACTCGTTTTAAATCCAACCTTGCCATTTCATTGGATGCTCCACATTTTCCTGTAAGAAGCCGCAAGCAATCATTTCCTATTGCCTTTTTCAGTATCTTTTACGAATTTTACAGGCCAGTGTCATACACACGTCCACCAATTATCTCTCCTTAGTTTAGAAGGGTCCTAAACCAGCCTATTCTCCTACTGAGGGCTTTTCACATTTCTGATCATTCTGCCTGTATTCTCTACAGCTTTCCTAGCACTGGTATAATAATTTTTGAAATGGCATGAATGATAAACAAATACATATTAAAATACAGACACATATCCTGCACAAGTCGCTACACTTCATTAAAAACTAACTGAAAAGGTGACACAAATTGTAGCTTTGAGACATAATCAAGCCCAACACACAAGCTTTAGCATTCGAGTTAAAATGCTTTGTACTTCTGTTCTGTCCAGAGATGGCCACTCGTGACTTGAACCCCATCATGCCTAGTACTCAGGTAAATAGGAAGAAACATGCTCAGTGCCATTTTAGCCTTTATTGGTCACACAGGAAGACAGCATAACACTGTCCAGGACCTTCTTTAACACTCAGATCCTTGCTTGGAGTGTCGGCCATTAAACCTGCTCACCAAGTCCCCTATCATCATCCAGAACGAAAGGAAATTTCCCACCCTCTGCCACATGTGATGGACTCAGTGAGGCTACTGACATGCACGTGAATATTTTAACCAATTTTTAGTACTTTCTCTTCAAGATTATCCCACGCAACACTCTTCTCCTCTACACTAAAAATAACACCTAAACTTACATCATAACTCCATAAGCCCACCTCCAGCCAGGCAATGATAGGATGTGCTCAATGCAGAACTTGTGTCCCAATAACCACTGGAATACCAGACTTGCTAAATCAACTTTCATCTCCTCCACAGGAACAGCAATCACACTAAATCCCTAGGGAATCAGCCAGATTATGTTTACTACATGCTTCTTATCTACAAATCCGTTATGAAGTCTCCCTCAGTACGGATTTTTCATTGTGCAGAGGAAGTTATGTTAAAAAAAAAAATTATCTCGGTTCAACTGTTGGTAGCTCACCACCAAAAAAATGATTGCCTGGAAAACAGTCTTTTTGTAAGAAATGCCAAGATTCTCACTTCATTCTTCTGCAAGTCTGCCTGGACTAACTCAGGAGACAGAGAGAAGATTTGAGCAGGGAATGTTTGGTTCAACCTATGGATAGAGGTATGCAGCTCATCCTGTCAATGCTAGGACAAAGCCAAATCCATTAACAGTCCTGTAAGTGTATACAAAAATCAGATCTAGAAAACATATAGAGAAAACTTCAAAAGTATGTTTTCTAACTCACTCAAAATAAGCTGATCAAGACAATGAAAGGGACATAAGCCCACCTCAGGGTGACTTTCCTGCTCAGTACCTGAAATTTGGTGCTCAAAGCGAACAATCTTCCTAATTTTGACACCAAATATAAAAATTAAATGATTAATTCTAAACCACTTTCCCACCAGGAGTGCACAGTCAAGCTCACATTTTAAAGATGAGTATTTCTCTATTCGAAATAACAAGGCTGCAGTCCAAAAACCTACCTCAGACCTTACCTACGCTGTTGTTAACTGCTTCCTCTCTGGTTGTAAGTCCTGCCTGACTTCTTACACCAAGGCTATCTTAACCAGGAAGTTTCCTGATTCATCTTTCAACCTTTGTACCCCTCCCCTTGCCCTTTCCAATGCATCAAAAGCAAGTCTCTGATCCCTGCCTTGAAGATCTTCATGCCACTCCTGGCTTGTTACATCTATTGTCTCATCATCACTGCTCTCCCAGATCTGCTCTGCAAATTAAACTTGTGCAGGTGTAAGAGGGGCAGTGCAGGCAGGCACAGGGACTAGGGGTATGCACCATGTCTGAGAGCCTGGATTCTCTTCTTAGCTCTGACCACGGTAAATTGTGCAAGCCATTTTGCATGCTTCAATCTTTCCATCTGCAAAATGTTTGGTTTATCTCATCAGCTGAAAAACATTGAAAAATTGACAAAAAAAAGAAAACCTCTAGTTAAGAACTAGATACAAACAGCAGCCAGGGGTTCTTCCCTTCCACACATCTCCTTGTTTTCCTTCATTTTGCCTATCCATGTCAAAATAAACAATTTAAAATACTACTTAGTATTCACCTCTAACGCTACAGCAGCAAAATATACAATCAGGCAGACAGCAAACTGGGATTGCTGCTTTTACACAAGTTTTACTCATCAATTCATAACTTTCTTTTTCCTTCTGTCCTCTCATTTCTCATGCACACATTCCATTTTGCCATTTTCTTCAAATTGTGTTAACAAGAGCAGGATCAGGATATTTATTAGTTGAGAGATACTGACTGCCTTGGATTAAGTGCTGAAGTAATCTTATGGAGATGATTCATGCTCCAGAAAACTTCTATTCCAAGACCAAACACAATAAATGTAAGAGATGCAGAGACCACAAATTAACAAAATCATACAGATGAACAGTAAATAGATTATGACACAATAATTAGTTGTTATTGGTAGATTACATGACAATTCTCAGGGTTTAGCAGATGGCAAAACTGTCATTACATGTTGTTGTCAAGCCAAGGAATCATGAAACACCTCGTCACTTGTAATATTTATGGGCAACTTCTGTGTTTCCCTTTTTAAAGGTAAGAAAGGAACACCTGCCCCCAAGCCTGATAATCACTCTCCTTAACTTAGTTTCTTCATTGGAAAGAAGCCCTGAGGCTGACCATTGGAACCTTCACCCCAGATAATCCAATTGTAACTGAACCTTCCTACGCTAGCACTCCATTTTGTGGAAGGGACAGAGAACGCTTCTCAAATTATCGTTCACACTATGCTAAAATATTTTATATAGAAGTTTAATCATCTCCTACATGTTTTGCAAAGTGTTTTGTTACCTGTATCTGTATAATCCCTAGCACAATGTACCCTCTGACAACAAAAACATCAGACTCTTCTAACCTTGTTCGTGTTGTGAAACGATCTGTTTTGCTGCGGAATGGCTCCATTGGCTTGAATCAATCCACCACAGGATTTAGACAGTCGGAACTGGCCAGCCTTGTGTCTCTAGTAAAACGACAAAAAGAAAATAAAAGAAAAAAATGAAGAGACCATTGACTAGCAAACACTTGACTTTACACCAATCACCCTTAGTTTGCTTTCAAGTCAATTACATTTCAGCCTAACCCTGAAAATGTATATCACAAAAAGCACAAATTTATTGTCATAACTGTTACAAACAAAATGGTTGTCCATCCTTGCTTGATGCTCCACATCACACGTTTTCTAGCGTTCTGTAAATGTACTGATGGAACGGACTGGCAAAACACCCCACTCAAAAACCACAGGCTATCTGCTTTGATTTTCCCACACACCACTTCTAATTGTGGGTTTTGCTTCTCAATAAAGAATAATTCTTTTTCCCAGCCTTGGAAAGAAACAGAGATCATGATATTTTTATCTATAACTTTATAGTCCATTCAACGGTCTTTGTGGCCAGGACTCGAGCAAAACAGATTACAGGAGCTATCACTACAACCACTGTAACTTCACAGCACACAATTTGTGTTACAGAGCTAATGCACAATAAAGAAAACCATCAAGTAGGAGCGAGTGGCATCTCCTAGTAGGAAGCTGCACACGGAACAGAACACCTACCACAGCCTCCCAGCACACCCAGATTAGCAGTAGCCTGTTTAGGAATAAATTCGGGCAAAGTAAACATGCTGGTTTGTTCAGAGTAGTCATCCCCAGAAGTCTACTGAATCTACTCGTGGCTCAGAGTAACCCCAACTTTATCAATCACTTCACAACTGCTCATTTCCCTCTCTATTCCCACCATCGTACGCTACTTGATACGGACTGGTGCTTTAGTAGCATGGATGTGCCATAAAAGCACAGGCAATTTGCTCAGGACTGGAACGTCTTATCAGAGAAAAGACATCCGAGCCAAAGACCTTACAGGTAAGTTCCTAATTCTGTAAGTCATGGCTGTATGACACAAGTTGTAACATACAAGAGGAGAAAGAGGAGGCTTAGTCTCCTCTCATTTCATCATATGCAAGGAGGAAACACCAAGAGATGTATTCTAATTCTCTTCAGATAGCCTGCATCTATTCCCATTTTCTACACATCTTCCACCTCTTTATTATTAACTGCTATTACACGATGTCATAGCACATCATCTTCATAGCACCTCTGCTCTGGAGACAGGCTGAGAGAGTTGGGGCTGTTCAGCCTGAAGAAGAGAAGGCTCCGGGGTGATCTTATAGCAGCCTTCTAGTACTTAAAGGGGGCCTACAGGAAACCTGGAGAGGGACTTCTTTCAAGGGTGTGCAGTGACAGGACAAAGGGCAATGGCTTTAAACTGAAAGAGGGGAGATTTAGATTAGAGATAAGGAAGAAATTTTTCACTCAGAGGGTGGTGAGGTACTGGAACAGGTTGCCCAGAGAAGTTGTAGATGCCCCATCCCTGGAAGTGTTCAAGGCCAGGCTGGATGAGGCTTTGGGCAACCTGGTGTAGTGGAAGGTGTCCCTGCCCATGGCAGGGGGGTTGGAACTGGATGATCTTTGAGGTCACTTCCAACCCAAACCATTCTGTGATTCTATGATATTCTAGTGAATTTGCTACAGGTAGACACAATCTGACATGCTACTACAGAACTGGAAGCAAAACTGCAAAGCAGTGCTTGCCACTGGAACAACACTGCTTAATGTTGGGCTGTGCTAGGCAAACCTCCCATCAGGACAAGGAAGTCCAAGGCTACTGTACAGTGGAGATGTTCCATAAATTAAATTGCTGGAAATCACATGCAATTGTGACTAGCCTGTAATAGCTGCTTTGGAAGAATGACACCTACATTTAGTTTTCTGCATTTAATCTACTCAGGACGGATCATTTGGATCCATGAAAAGACTACACAGCTGGAATGAAGACAACTGTGCAATAAGAAGTGGGAGCTCAGGCTTTTAGCAGCAGAAAGCTTTCAAGTCACCTTGATACTTCAGCAATACACAGACAGTGAACTGACATCACTTTTGGAAGCCTCTTTATTTAAAAACCGTGACTTTTTCTTACTAATATAAACTTCCTCCGGTTTTTACATGCTTTAACATACTCTGATATCCTACCTGGAAGATACCACAGAGCGTCCGTCTACACTGGCCTTGGATTGCGGTCGTCTCTAATAATCCACTGCACGCTGCTACCCACTGAGTCACTCCAGCATGGCAGCTCTGGAACAGAGAGACGAGCAATGAAGAAAAGGACTCTAATATTTGGAAACAGTTTAACCGTCCTCCTGCTTCCACAAGTTTTATGCCTTTATACAACAATCCTCAGATTAAATTCCCCACCTGCGCTTGACAGAAGTATAAATTTCAATCTTAAAAAAATCTTGGTTTCCAATCCAAGTTTGATGGATGAAACAAATCAGTCCAAGGAAACAGTGAACTGTGTACATAGAATCATGGAATGGTTTGGGTTGGAGGGGACCTCAAAGATCATCTCGTTCCAACCCCCCTGCCATGGGCAGGGACACGCTCCACTACACCAGGTTGCCCAAAGCCTCATCCCAACTTGGCCAACATCATACAACTACACCAAAATTTTGATACGTATACAATAAATTCAACTTCTTAATTCTTCAATTGACTGAGTGATCTCTAAAAAGCTCTCATCCAACTCTCAGCTTTTAAACATCTTTGTCTTGCATTACTCAGGCACGGCTAAGAATTTTAGTATTTCAACAGCAGATATCATCCCAGTAAATTTCAGTGAAGATAATTATTTTTTGTAATGAAAATGTCAGGTAATATGGAAAAGAGGCAGCATTTTCTTCCTTTGCATCTTTTGTTTTCTGCAATATTCAAGTTAGCATCATATTTGCCTCCTTCATACATATTCTACATTAATACTGGAAATAACGGATATATGGTCAGAATGGATATGCTTTTTCATTTTCAATTGGCCACAAATTAAGAGACTGAAGCATCCAACGTATGAGGAGAGGTTCAGCTTTGAGAAAAGAAGACCCCAGGGGAATCTTATCAATTTGTATAAATACCTGATGGGGTGGACAGTCAAGCTCTTCTTAGCGGAACCCAGAGAAAGGACAACTACAAGACTAGCACACGTGCTCAAAGAGTAGGAGGAACAGACACAAAACCAGCATTTTTGTTCCTGTGCCCCATTCCCTGCACCTGCACAGTCACTGCTGTCCCTCGGGTGCCGTCTCCTCGGGCTGTCCTTCGCCAACTCCTCACACAACTGCACTTTTAATCCATTAAGGGAATTCATTTGTGTTTTTAAAAACTGTGAGGGCAGAAACGTACTACCACAGCAAATGTGATGAGTGGTCACTACTACTATACCTTCTCACTTCTGCTGCAGCACGACTACTTAGTTCCTGCTCTCTGTTACATCAGTACACAGTAAGTAAAATTAAGAAAATTATATATTTCTATCCAAAAAGACATTTCTGCTGAGTACCACAAAGTACTTCTTGAGGTAATCCAGTGCTCTGACATAAACAGTTTAAGAATTAAACACTTCAGTGAGAAAGAAAACTCACCGTTTTTTTATAAAAAATTACTACAAGATTCCAAGACATCTGACATTTTTTTTTTAAACTTTTTCTTTGTAATAGGAAAGAAAACATGTGTGGGTTGTGATGAGCTTGAACATACTGGGGTTTACAGCTGCTGAAACGCACTACTGCAACAATACGAAAACCTGAACTGAGCACACGCATGCTTAACAGGTGAGATGCGGTAAACAATTAGCAATAAAAAGACAAGAGCAGAAAGCAGCAGAGCAACAGAATGGGAACACGATGAGCTAAGGAACCTTCCCTAAGCCAGCATCGCTGTTTGCAGAACAGGACTTCCAAATGACAAGTGCTGAAAGGAAACGTACCAAGCATAAACTGAACAGAATCACTCAGGAACAGCCCGCAGACAGCGCAAGCACCTCCTGCAGCTTGTTGCCTTCTCAAGATACAGATGAAAGAATCTCACTACAGTCTTCTCAATCCTCCTGGCAACCACCAGGAAAAACATTACGCAGCAGGCAAGCCATCCATCAAGATCTCTTCTTAGGTAAAGAACAGCTTTATCACAATGGCAGTATTAACCAGCAGGGCTGAAATGTCTGGACAATATTCAGGACTGCATCATGTGCTGCAAGCTCCTGAGAAGGCTTGAAGACAGAAATAAAAATATTTCTCCTTTCTTATTTCCAGCACAAAGACCAGACATGGAGAGTTTGAAAACTTATTTTCATACAATTAGGCAACCATTAAATTCTAGTGCAAAAGCAGATGCTGCGAACTGCCAAGGATGAGCAAAGCTTGAGCTGAAGCACGCTGCTGCTGTCAGAAGCCCCCTGCCTCCCAGCTGCATACTTCCAACACCCACTATAGCTCAGGTGCTTCTCTGATCACAAAGTAAGGCCCTTCAGATCACAAAAACAGCAAACACCTACATCTCCTCCCCTCCAAAGAAAAATGTTTCTGGCCAGGCTGAAAAGTTGAATCAGCTTACTTTGCCATACGAATGCCAGAAGCAGCTGGGAGAGGAGAAGTTGCCCGGGAACAGGTAAGCCTAGGAGACAAGTCCTTCACCTTCTGCAAGCAGGTTTTCATTGCACACCACACCCTGGGGGCACAGCTCCACAGACAGCTGAAACCATCTGGTGACTCACTGCTGCTCTATCGGTCTCCCTGCTCCCCTCCTGCCTGGCTTCCCTCTCCCTTTTCGCTACTGATTGCATCTTTAACACATTAAAACGGCAGGAAATTACTTTTATGTCACCCCAGTTCTGCTGCTCCAGCATTTGAAGCACAGGGGCCAAGAAAACTGCTGGAGGAGGCAATAGTAGGCAACAGTGCAAAGACATGAACAAGGAGAAAAAGGAGGAACAGGAGGAGGAAGCAGGAACTGAAGCTCCCTGTGCTTCAGTTGCTCTCAGTTGCACTCAGCTTGAAGGCCAGGGCTCACCACACTTGTAAAAACCACACCTCGAGGCATCGCTTCCAAGAACTTAGTGGATGAATTTCCTAAGTGTGCATTGCCCTCTGACTAAAGACCTTTCATCTTCCTGACGGATCTGTCTCCATTCCGCAGCGCTGGCCATCCCTGTATTTGTGTTGTGACAGAATATCAGGCCCAGGCACGAAATTCCTTTTTCCAGGCTATATGCTAAAAAGTAGTACTCTGCTGCAAAGACTTTAAAGGCTAACAGAAAGAAAAAAAGTACATAAACGCATGGGAAAGATGAAAGGAGTTGCATGGTTACTGATTCGCTCATTCACAGGAATCCCATGTCTTCCAGTTAACACAGAAACTGGAATCTCTGTACGATCCTTGCTACAAACACCTCTGAAGGGAGAAGGGGATCTCCACGAGGGGCAATGCCCACCCCACAGGGCACACACCCTGCGCCCAAAGCAACAGCAAAAGTACCCGACTGGA